GCAGGGCAAGGCGCCTCTTGGTGCCACGTCTCTCCCGGCCACTCCCTGCCTTCGTCCAAGAGACTCCCTGCCTAGGGGCGGCGGTGGGAAAAAGGCAAGCCACGGCCCAGGTAGCAGCAGCGCCCACTTGCTGAGCCCGAGGAAGGGCTGTCTGAGGAGGGGGCCCATCTCGGTCTGACCCGCATTTTTCTGGCTCCTGTCAGTCTGACACACTGATGCTGTCCCCATGGGGAGTCACCTGTCCACGTAGCTGGCTCTGTTTCCACGGACTATCCCCACTCCTACTACGCCCCATCAGGGCAGCACTCCCAGAGTGAAGTTGCCTGGGGCACAAGCATGGCTCCCCCATTCTACCTATGAGCTGCTCAAGTCCCCTCTTGTCCCCCAGCAGCCATGTGGGAGGTGTCTGATGACTTGCAGAGGCTGTGTTCTTTACCACGGGGTACCAGACTAGTTCCCGAGTATGACCTTGGCCTTCAAGCCTCCCTGTGAACTTGGCTTGCAGTCAGCCAAAACCCGGAATCCCGCCATCAGTTTCAACACCTTATACAGGCTTGACCATATTGTTTTTTCTGGCGTCTTCGGGTTTCGCAGCTAACTCTTTAGTCCCTTGGAAATATGGCTGTCCTCTACTGCACAGCCTCCCACAGAAATGAAGCTCACTGGCCACAGTCTAAGTTCTCCCCAGGCCTCAGCCCTTCAGTCTAGAGTACACCAGCTGCCATTCCTGGCCTCCTTGCCCCTAGAGGGAGTGTCCCTCTGCTTATCTTGTCTAACTGGGTGCATGTGGCGCCAGCGGCTGCTATGGGACATGTGACTCGGTCACTCACAGAGACCAGCACCCGGCATGGCCTGCAGCCTCACACCTGCTGCAGGCAGTCTCAGGGAGGCTGTATAAGGCACTGCTCAGAACAGCAGCTTGCCTTGACCACATACAACATGACCACATACAACACGCAGCACCATGGGTCCAACAGTACTAAGACACACGGGCCCAACAGCGCTGTGTGGGCTGAGCAGGATCTGCCTCTGGATGACCACGACCCCCACCCCTGGCCACTGACCTGAGCAGCACAGTCATAGCTCTTCCTGCCCTCGGGAGGAGCTTGGGCAGGAGGAAGTCCCTTTCTCTGCAGAATCGTAGTGCCTGTCCTCCGCCAGCCTCATCACAAGTCCCCTGACAGTCGGGCAGGACCGTCACAGACCCTGTGCCACCTTCCAAGGAGAAGCAAGTGGCCACAGAGCCAACAGACACACGGTGCAAAGCCGACCCACCAAGGCCTCCCCCAAGAAAGCCCTACCCAGAGCACGCCAGCACCTTCCACAGTGGTGCACATCAAATGCCAACCAAACCCTCAGAGAATAACTCAGTCCCCAGCGTGACACCCACCGCAGGGCTCATCAGCTGGACGACGGCCCAGGCCCAGGCCTTGGGATCCAGTTCAAGGATCCCTGTGTGGCCCGAGGTTTGCCCGCAGTCCTCCCAGGGTGCAACACTGGGCGTGACTCATCGGACACATCCAACAGAAACTGCCGAATTCCTTAACTTTCCACCTAAACTGAGATCCCCTTTAGAAAACAGAACCACAGTCTGAGGCAAGGAGGACACTCTGGGTGTGCAGGCGCTAAGAAGCAAGCACACAGCAGGGGGTGTCCGACCCCAGTGCGGAGGCGGCCTTGGACCTGTGTCTAGCAGGCCTTCACACCTGGGGACAAAACTGAGGCTGCCAGTGCCAGGAAGGCTGCTTCACACATCCCAGCCGTTCCGCTAAGACTCCAGCTCCTTACAAGAACTAATGACTCTCAGATATGCTGTCAATCTTAATTTCCTTGTCACCAGCATGTGTGAGCAGTATCCCCGGGCAGCTCCCTGGGAACAAGGATTGGGGTCCTCTGGGACTCGGGCTCCCTGGGGCCTCCCTCTGTAGAAGCATCCATGCACCCCAGACCCCCATGTCACAGCTTGTTCCCCACAGACAAGCTGCTGCCTGGCGCAGGGCACGTCTGCCATGAGCGCTTCCAAACACAGGTGCCGCTGCGGCTGGCAGGCGGCACACCATGCCCAGCTGGACCCTTCTGTTTCTGGAGGCAATCTCAGCCACTAAGAGGAGGCACACACTGACACGAAGAGCGATCAAATCGTTAACGCCCTGCTAAAGCATCGCCACGTCTCCTCCACCTCAACCCTCGGGCCTGGCCAGCATGGCCTGGCAGCCGTGCCAGCTCAAAGCCTTCCCATCGCTGGAGCAGAGTCTTGGGACATCCCAGAGCTGGAACTTTAGGGGATTACCAGAATGGAGAAAAAGAAGGCATTTTAAAATGAGGTGACCAATGTTTGCAAGCAGACTCTCCTGCCTGGTCATACAGATTCACAGCTATTTTTGGTGTGCTCTTATAAAGGCGGAGGACCGGCGACCCGCTGGGTGTCAACCTGCAACAGCAGGTGCCTCGCTCGGCTCAGGGCACAGGATGCAGCCCGGGCGAGAAGGGCCGACTCTTGCTGCCAGCATGCGAGGCACAGCCATACAAGGGCAGAGGTTAGGAAGCCACGGCAGCACCTTCTCATCACGCGTTCTGGGGCCCACGCGGGGGTGTGGGTATTTTTGAAACAGCTTACCAGCGGATTTCAGCTGACTTCACTCACACACAGTGGGATCAGAAGGCCATCTGCATAGGAAGGTCACTGCCCACCAATCAGAGCATGCACTCCAATGTGGAGGCAGCCAAAGTGCTGAGGCCGGAGAAGCTGATCCGGCAGGAGGATCGGGCTGCCTCAGCCCAGCTGCCCAGCACCTACCACGCTGCCCCTCATGAGGCCCTGTAACCGGAATACCAACACGGATCCATTTCCCTACTGCTGCCTGGCTTCTCCTTCCAAGTAAGGCTGCCCCCGTGGAGAATCCTGGTACATCTTAACATTTTTGCAGTCTCACCCCTGGAGCCTTCTCTGGATGACCAGGACCTTTGGTCCCCGTTTCGGCTAGGTGAGCATGGGGAAATGCCTGCAATTTGCACGGAGAAGCGCAACTGGTGCTCTGAAAACACCGGCTGATCCCCGATTACACCAAACAAAGGCCCTGCATGCTTAGCTTTTGGAGAGACTCATAACACTGTGAATTTTCTGAAATTACAGCTCTGGGGAGGAACTCAAACTGCACGTGAACTTGAGAACCACAACAGCATACTCAGCACAGATCAAGTCCTTCAGGACAAAGCAATTCTGCAAATTCAGTTAAAAAAGGCAAACCTCTCACTCCTAAGGTGAACAGCAGGCAGTCAGCAGCAAGGACTTCCGGGGTCACTCAGGACCCAGGACAAAGCCCGTCCACCACTCCATGTACAGGCACCGCATGGGCAAGGACTGCCCAGACAGTGCCCTGCACAAACTGCAGCCTTTGCAGGAGGCATGCTCTGTCAGTCCTCTGCTGCTGGGAAGCCTTGTTCCTTTGCTGTTCTGACACTCCTCAGGCTCCAATCAGACAGGTTCTGAGAACACTCATTCCTCAGCCTACTCTGGGTGATGGGATCTGCTGTGGCCTCCAGCTTGTGGACCCCAAGGCTGCCTTCCCCACAGCCCAAGGAAGGAAGGGGGAGTCGGTGTCCTGAAGCTACAAAGGAATGGCCAAGCTCTGAAGAGGGAATCTCCTTTAATGTTTGCAGTTTTTAGAATCTGTGAACCTAAGGGCATTCTCCACAGCAACAGCTCAAGTAGCTGATTCTCCCACCCACCTGGGAGATGTGGCTCCTGGAGTCGGCCTGGCCCCGGCCCAGGCAGGGCAGGCACTGGGAGTGGGAGCACCAAATGGGAGCACGCTTCCTCATACATTCTCTCTCTCTGCCCCCCAAATGGGGAAACAACAAATAACCCACTTCAGCTCTGGGCATTCAACAGATGCTAGCCGTTGTCAGCTTCCCCCAGTCTTGGCACCAGCCCTGTCCAGCACCCACTGGAGGAGACAGCTCAAAATGCAAGGCAGTACACTCCGACAGCCATTGCGGAATGTCACCAGGACACTAACCCCTGGTGACAGACAATATGCAGCATTTTAATTGGTGCCCATGCCCCAACCTGCCAACTGACCCTTTGGTCCTCTCCCTCACATACTGTCAGTGCTGCACTGTCCCCACAGGGCCCGGGACTCCTGGGCAGGCCTGTCCCCAAGGAGAGGCAGTACCGGACTGGCTAAGAACAAAATGCCCAGCCACATCAGGAGTCTCCAGGGAAAGCCTGATCGTTGCCCCTCATGGCCACAATGGGTCAGCAGTAACAGAACTAGCAGTGTGAATCTCAACTTGGCCAGACACATGTTCCTGCTAAGTTTATGAGAAAAAGCAGCCCTGCATCAGGCCCAGGGAAGGGCTGGATCAGACCAGCGAAGCAGCTTCTACCCACATCTGCTGCATGGGGCAGCGGCAGACTCCTGGCCCGGCAAAGACACACAGCTCCCCCCAGGCGGCATGCTACAAGCGGCCGCCTCCTGCCTATCTGGCGCAACGCCGCTTTGATTCCGAACATGGATCTTCTCTGGCTACTGTCTTTTAAATATAAGGAAAATGAGTAAGCAAAATAAAAAATAAAAGCCAATTAGCGCTTGTTCAGCCCTTCCACATGGGGCCATGGAAGTCCCCTCAGAGTGAGCGCGCACAATGCATGGGCTGGGGACGCTCACCCAGTGTTGGCGAGGCCAAAGCTGACAAGCAGCACAATGGCACCAGCTGGGGGTCTGTTCCCCCTCTTCTTGTGCCCAAGTTCCAGCTTGTAGCACTGCAGACACGGTGGCCTGCGATCCACCTGAGAACCCCATCCTGGCTTTATTAACGTGGGTGGTTCTAAACAGAGACCACCATGTGAAATTCACCTCAGCTGAGAGAAACTGTGGGGCCCCGCAAGGCTGGGTTCCTATGTTCTGAACTCCGAGCAGGAAAAAGCCCCAGGCGTAACTGGTTCGGCGAGGGGGCAGGTAACGGGCAAGGAAGAGGAGGAAAGGGGAGGCACGTACCAGGTCGATGAGGTCGCTGAGGTTCTTCTCAATCTGCTGCGGAGGCAGGCGCCTCATTAGGTCCAAGGCACAGTCCAGCTGCTGGTCACTCTGTACAGGGACAAAGAAAGGCATCTGAGTCATCTGTGATAACACAACAACACAACCCCCTGGCAGAGCAGTGTCCCACCTGCTGTCTGCCCAAGGTATCCCTGCAAAGGGCCCTCGGCCAGGCCTCGCACAGAGAAGATGCATCAGTCAGTGAAAAGTACTTCATTTGTGTAAACCAAGCTTGATCACCGTCTGTCCCCAGGTCCTGTGCACACCTGACTAAGACGGGAGCCATGCCACGATTGAGAGCTCCCTGCAGCAGGCAAGGCAGGTGCCACATACAGTAAACAGCATCACCACCGCCACGGGGACAGGGAGGGTCACAATGACTCCAGCTTATCGAGCTGCAAAGCAAGTGCTTCGTGATCAGTGCCACAAAGTCACCCCGTGGTAAGAAGAGGAAGAGATGGCGGGAGGGAAGAACTGAGGCGGGCGTACTGAGCAGTGGCGTGCACACAGGAACCGCACAGTGCATTGGCAGAGAGGGACGAACAAGGACACACTCATGAGCTGCAAGCAGGGCTCACTGGAGCGCCATGAGCTGGCTTCTGTCCGGGACCTGCTCTGTTCAGACCCACTTGGGGATCTCACCATTCTCCACATGCTCAAGAGTGTCTCCAGATGTCCCAGGACTGCCGCGGGTGCCTACTGGGCAACAGCCTCTGGGCATCACGACCTGGTCTCCAGGCCTCTCACCGCCACAGGCTGTGGGCAAGGATCCCTTCACGGTGAGCAGACACTGATACCTGGAGTCAGCTCACTTTCAGATATTAACATGGCACTTTCAGCGTTAAGAAAAAAAAAAAAAAAAGACAATTTTGTTCTGTGCTCAAGATGGTTACCAGTGATTATTTATTCTGGGACACAATGAAGAAAAAACAGCCCACACCAGAAACCCTATCACTTGTTTGCTTAATGAAACATCCCAGCAGCCTTGAATTCCCAGCTGCGCCATGCACTTCCACTTTCACGGGCACCGTCGGCCAAGGCCAACACGGCCCAGCCCCTCCGGCAGCGGAGGTGGTACAACCCCACGTCACTGTGGGTGGGACCCCTTCAGCCCCTGTGCCCCATCTTGTACGACCTCAGGCAACTTCTCCTCAGGAAAGTTTTGGTCTTTAATATGGGGCAGTAGTGACCGAACAGACCTGCTAGAATCTCAGTACCACCTGCGACATGTTTAATACTGTGTTTAATGAATAGGTTAGTGTAAACATACAGAGGTCTCAGAGATTTAGAAATATTTCAAAATTAAAACAATACTTTATTAGCTTCTCCTGAGTCAACTCTGACCTCTCCTGTTGCCTAAAACTAGAGTTAAATAGTCAAATTTCCCAAATAGCCAAGTACTCTCTCAGGTGTATAAACATAAAAAAAACCTTAAAAGAATCGAGTCAGACCTGTTAGAAGGCCTAAGATGGCGCTCTCAACGGAAGCTGATTTGTTCCAACATGGACAGAGACTTCGTGGTTGTCCCACCAGAGGAAGCTGCAGGACGCCCCACAAGGCAGGATGCCTGGCCCAACAAACAGTCACCTGGCCACCGTTGTTCAGTCAACAAGGCCTCCTTCCTGAACCGGTACAGCTCTAACTCGGACACCACCCGCAACTCGTGGGCTTCGGAGAATACCCTAACTAGCTAATCAAGAATCTCCCTTGGCTCTGAAGAGCAAACCCTGACACCGGTCAGCCTAGCTAATCAGAGACTAATCCTGAGTGTCCGAGGGCTCCAGGGGGATTCATCAGAAACAGAAGGGCAATAACCAGGACAGACAAGGCAAGCCTGGTCAGCGAAGATCCACGCGGAAGGGTGCAGCTGTAACCTTCCCTGGGCCTGGGCCGCACCCAGCCTTAGGGGTGCCAGTGGGAGACGGGCGTCCTCCCAGGAGGTCCTCCTCTGCCTGACATATGCAGCTGGCAGCACAGTCCCCAGCCCACAACCATCTACCTCATATTTTACATAATCCCAATTAATCCTAATTGGAAATGTTTCACAACAGATTTCTAAGGCTAAGGATGTTTAACTATCACAAAATGAGGAAATGGCTCAATGCTTCCCCTAAGTGAAGCAACACGGGAGAGCTTAGTGACAGCTTGTAAAAAGTTAAAATTAGAGTTACTGGAGCCATTTGGCTTGGGAGCTATCCCAGACCCTAAGGGGTCTGCACAGGAACAACACGGGAGAATAAAAAACATGTGGGTGACTTAGAGCTGTGGCAATAACATGCACGACCCTAAAAACGGAGGAGGGGTTCTATTTAGGATGCCACTGCTTTCACAAAGCTCACAAAGAACTGTAACAGGCAGAACACGCCTTGAACTGACACACTAACACAGCAAGGCTGCAGACAGAGCTAAGCAGGAAAGGGGAGCCACCAGGGGAAGACAAAAGCAAGCATCTGTGTAGGCCTCCTGTGGACTGGCAGGTTCAAGGGTGCATGCCAAAGACAGGAAGGAATGCAAGGAGGATAGAGAGTCCAGGACCCCAGGGGGTACCTCACTGCTGGGTATCTATGTGTGTGGCCCATTAGCACACCCCCAGGACCTGGGGCAAGATCACCCAGAGGCTCCTCCAGATATGCCATGCCTTCCTGCAGGTGCAGAGGCAACCGCCCAGGGCCGATCTGCCCCTCAAGGATCCAGCCCTCCTGCAGACCGACAACAGTGGTGCAGGCAGCAACCCGTGCTACACATGGGCCAGGCCTCAACCTGGCCTCGTGAACACCATCTAACAAGGCCGCAGGGGCACGGGCTGAGTACAACAAGGCCGCAGGGCTGTGAGCTGTGTACAACAAGGCCACAGGGGCACGGACTGTGTACAACAAGGCCGCAGGGGCACGGGCTGTGTACAAGGCTGCAGGGCCGTGAGTTGTGTACAACAAGGCCACGGGGGTACCAGCTGCATACAACAAGGCCGTGGGGCTGTGTACAAGGCTGCAGGGGTGCCGGCTGCATACAACAAGGCCGTGGGGTTGTGTACAAGGCCGCAGGGGTGCCGGCTGCATACAACAAGGCCGTGGGGCTGTGTACAAGGCCGCAGGGGTGCCGGCTGCATACAACAAGGCCGTGGGGCTGTGTACAAGGCCACAGGGGTACCGGCTGTGTACAAGGCCGCAGGGGTACCGGCTGCATACAACAAGGCCGTGGGGCTGTGTACAAGGCTGCAGGGGTGCGGGGACAGCCCTCACCAGCACTTCCTACTGCAGATACAGATGCTATCCTAGGACTGCTTTCCCTCACCTACTTTGCCGATGGCTTCAGACCTATTTTGTTTTATTGAGTTACTGATCTTAAAAGTAGAATTATAAAGAGAAAAAGAGGCTTGTCTATCCTGACTCACTTTCCAAATGGCCAACAGGGCTGGGAGCTGGGGGCTGGGCTGCCGCCAGGTGCCTCAACTCCACACAGGTCTCCCACCTGGGTGTGGGAGGCCAAGTGCTTGGCCCATCTTTGGTTGCTTTCCCCGATGCATTAGCAGGGAGCTGGACCAGAAGTGGAGCAGCCAGGACTCAAACCAGCACCCGTGTGGGATACTGGCATCCTGAATGGTGACTCAATCGCGACATCACAATGAAGGACCCCGAAGTCTCAGTTTATACCAGTTTCCAACTTCACAGATAAAAAGGCTCAAAATTGCTTAAATCACTCTGTAAGAAGCAAAATCACCATTACCATGAAAACAAATTTTCAGAATGAAACACACTAGAGGGCAAAGTCAACTTCAAGAAGGACACACTTCAAAATATTTGTGGAGAATGGAATCCAAAGACAACTCCCATTTTGACACAATAACCCTGGAATCTGTGCATAAACAAGTCTTAAAATATCCGCGGAAAACACACATTAAAGACTACAGGACGGATTGGGCCTGGCACAGTAGCCTAGCAACTTAAGCCCTTGCCTTGTACGCACCAGGATTCCATATGGGCGCCGGTTCTAATCCCGGCAGCTCCACTTCCCATCTAGCTCCCTGCTTGTGGCCTGGGAAGGCAGTCAAATACGGGCCAAAGCCTTGGGACCCTGCACCTGTGTGGAAGACCCGGAAGAGGCTCCTGGCTCCTGGCTTTGGATCAGCTCAGCTCCAGCCATCATAGCTGCTTGGGGAGTAAATCAGCAGACAGAAAATCTTCCTCTCTGTCTCTCCTCCTATCTGGTATATCTGTCTTTCCAATAAAAAAAGACTACAGGGATTTCAAAATTATTTTTGCACCATAAAAAAAACCTATCTTTGGATTCCATTCCTGTGTGCACTGGTCTCTGGGGAAGGATGTCAACAGGAGATGGCAGACCCACGCTAAGCTCCAAGCACAGTACAGCAGACCACACTGACCACGGGGGCACGGAAGCCGCTCAGGGGAGCCCAGGCTGTCATCAGCTGAGGAGGGGGTGCACGCCCACCCTGAGCAGCCCTTGAGAGGCCTGCCCCACAGCAGGTGCAGGACAAGGAGGAGAAGGGAAGATGAGAACACAGGCCCGGCCCTAGGGTGAGTGAGGAGAAGGGAAGTGGAGCCTGGCCCGGGAGGTGGCCTCATGGAGGGTTTCCAACCGGGCTAGACTGCACCCTAACCTCTGGGATAACCCCTGGCTATAAGCCTCACGAAGCCCAGCGGTTTCACAAGTAAGGATCAGGGCCACGTTCTCTGGCCCTGCCAACCTCAAAACCCACTTTTCCTTGAGGACTCAGGAGCTGCTCTAGACTTTCCTCCAAGGCACGGGAGGTGGTGGCTCTCCCACTGGCCAGCTCCTCTCGCAGTACCATCACTGATTCCTCTCAGGGGGCATCTGTGCCCCTACCCTGGGAACATCTGTGACCGCTTTAACCAGAGCACAGCAGCACTGGGCTCCCTGACTTCGAGGCAGCTTCACCCTTCCCATGGGAACACGGGAGTCCCTGGTGGCTAACGAGAAGCCTAGGCCCTGCGGGAAAGGCAAGTGCAGAGTCTGAGCCGCCCAGGGCCCTCAGGTCCCACTGGTGTGTCCTGCGTCCTCTGCGACCCAGA